CATATATATACTCGTCAGTTAATATTCCCATTTCGCTATAAAACATTCGCAGGGGCGAATATACGGACCCGTGGCGGAATGGCGGAGTATTCAGGCCAATCGGGCGTACGTGCTGTACCTTCAGGAAACAACGTCGACTGCGCCAGTGCACGCAAGGGCAACCAACCACCAGCACATGTACGCCATGAGTGATGGGGTAAAGGTGCACGGGTCGAGATGTAACAGCGTTGTAGAGTCACAGGAGAATCACGGGGCGAATGAATTGGAGGGCGACTTTGTGTGTGGGGATGAGGATGATGGTGTATTGCCTGTGCGTGAGACTGTGGCCGCGGATGCTAGTGGACTTGTGGGTACGCATACGGCGGTAGGTGATGTGGGTGGGCGTATAGATGCGAGTTTGGCCGCGTTTCTAGTAACAGCTGAACGGGAGTACAACCGGCAACTACCCGACTGGGTCATTAATTCGGAAATTGTCCACTTTTGACCAGTCCTATCGGTAAGGATCCAAGCCTCAATCAGCCTTCCGAGGAACAAATAGTATCGTGAATAAGTCGACAGGCTGTACTGGGTAACTCACCAAGCCATGGCCCACGGGCGATGCGATATCTCACCCGGGAAACTGCCTGCCTTGCCTTCACACCTGGTGGTGTGGGAACATCGCTGTATCGCTGCGAAGCATAGTGCCGTTGTACTGCTATCTGTCCATGTGTCCTCGACGTCACAGTTCGGTACTCGGACAGGTGCTGAGTCTGGGAGGATCTACGAGCAGGCGGGTTTAGTGCGGCTTACTACGGCGCTGGGTGCTTGTGGTCGGTCGTATGCTCAGATGTCACAGGTGGACTGGGCAATTGGTCCTTTCCCAGAGATAGAGCAGTCTGTAGTACATCATCTGGCATGGCTCGGAAACTGGATGAGAATAGTCCATCGGTTCAAGATAGTCGCGCGCGTATGCCGGTTTGTATGCCGTCGCTCTCACGCTGCACACGTGGCCGAAATTGGAGGCGAGTGGCTATACATGCGTAACATGGCTTTAAGTAGTCGAGTGGATATACATGCGTAACATTTGTATACATGCGGAACATGGCTTCAAGTAGTGAGACATGGGCACACCTCGGGTGCAAATGCTGCGTCAGCGGCAGCCACTCATAACAGGACGGGCGTGGTATTGAGTGTAGGACAGAGGGGACGGGGAGTGACACGAGCCTCACCACCGAGTGAGTGGAGGAGACGACCTCAATCCGTTGAGAAGGTACGATGGCTATACGCTCCGGCGTTGTTGTAAATATACCAATTTTACACGTTTCATAATATAGTTTATGTGTACATGAGGCACGCTTGTGTCGTACTTGGGAAGAAACAGATAAGCAGGTATCGTGATAAGAAAATGGGGCACGTGCGGGGGGGCCTGGGACTGCCTCGTAGGGGGGCCTGGGACTCTATAGGGCTTTGGCCAGTTCCAAAGTGTACCCACATCGGCCGCTATTGGCTGTCGCAGTAAACTGTCTTACCTTATCACACCATTCTCGTTGAATGCTCAATCCAATTCGAGAGCATTAGATATGAGAGATGTGATCTCCGAAAGATCACAGTACAAAAACTTCGGAAGCGATGTAGGTATGGTGCAGATGCGCGTCTTGCTGGCTTAACGGGAACGGTGGACTGAACAAGGTGTGGCAGCACAACGAGACACCTCTGTGTCACAACAGCCAACATACATAGTGCGATGACGTACGCTGGAGGAACTATGACACCAGGTGCGTTAAAGACGTTGAATTAATTGAAATAGTTGAATAAGTTGTATCAGTTTAATTAGTTGAAATAGTTGAATTAGTTGGATTAGTTGAATCAGTTGAATTAGTGGAATCAGCTAAATTAATTGAATCAGTTGAATTAGTTGAATTAATTGAACTAGATGAATTAATTGAATTAGTTGAATCAAATAAAGCATCACAAACCAGACAAGTGCAGGTGACCAATCAAAAGCGTACCAGCAATATAACTTTGATATTCTCGCAGACGCGTCTTTATTATCAGAGAAGGTCGTCGGACCTGAGTGAGCGTTGTGGCCATGCCTCAGACGTGAAAGCGAGTCCTCTGTGTATACCTTCCCATATACCCCAACCTATGTAGCAGTCGAATACGGACGACGTACGTGCACCTACACACGCTTGCAGTGGCCATGGCTGTGTCCTGTGTCTATTCATGGGTGAATTGAATACACATGGCGTCTGTGGCAGATAGTACAGCCGATGTGGCCCCGCGGGTCCTGCAGTAACCGCTGCCGTATGCGCCTACCACGTGGTGCACGTTTGTGTTATGTGTGTGGTTGTGGGTTGGTCCCATTGTGTACCTCCCCATTCCCAAAAGGGCATGCATTCAGGTAATACTGCTCCATACATACCGGTACGATATCGGTACCAACCACGCTACAGATATTGCTCGTCATGCCGCACTCGTATCGTATTCACAGCTGCAACACTCCACATCCCACGTCCGCCACCCCCACACATCCCTTGTTTCCGTCTGAAACCCTACGCAACGCACAGTACGCATTCGACCCGCACCACGTCACCTACAATGGGGGGCACCCAACGGTCCTTGTCTCTTTGCAGGACAGGTGCATGAGTGCTAAGTACAAGAATGCAGACATGTGTGTTGTGTCTGCTATTGACTGTTGGTACATATAACAGCCAACCCGCCACTCTGTGGTGGAATGCTGTACTGTAATGGCTGAGTGTTCCCTAATGTGCTGAGTGATATTCTGTGCCAAGGCGGCAGGCCCATGCGAAGCTGCACCCGCTTCGAAGGGTCACACCCCGTGAGAGCATGTAGTGATCCGTTGTACTGCCAATACATAGGTGTGGTTTGACACTGTGCTTCGCTTCACTGAGATCTGACCCTGTAAAAAATGGTGCATTTGGGACCTGTAAAACAGGTTCATTTTGGCCCAGTTCTCGTTGGGTGTCCTGTATATTCCGTGTTTATAGCGTTACCGTCTGCACGTTTGTGCCAAAGACCTATGCATGCACACGAGTACTCGTTCAGCGGAAGGGGTCTGGTGGTGAAACTCCAGTTCGGTACTTACTCGCAATTGTACCTGTCCAGTCCCATCGCAATACCACCCAGATCTACAGGATCTAGAGTAGATCCGAGCCCGAGTTGCAAACCCTCATGCAGGTCGACTTGAAATAACACAGATGAGCCAAGCCATCACAGTACACCCCATATTTGGAGACAGTTGAGATTTGTAGCACACAACATGTCTCACACAATCTCCGCATAGGCACTGACGAGTGAGCGCGTCGGATCGGGCAGCGCAAACGGCTTGGAGTCTCCGTCGTTGAGTTCATTGTCTTCACCTGAGTGGCGGGGAGTATGTCATAGCATATAAGCCAACACAATAGACATGAATACGAATAGTAAGTTATATCATATAAGCTAACTCAACAGACATGAACGAGAAAAGTATGTTGTAATATATAAGCCAAAACACCAGACGTGAACAAGAAGAGTCATATAAGCCAGCACAACAGACGTGAACAAGAAGAGTATGTTATATCATATAAGCCAGCACAACAGACATGAATAGGAACAATAAGTTATATCATATACGCCAACTCAACAGACATGAACAAGAAGAGTATGTTATAATAAACACAACAGACGTGAACAAGAAGAGTATCGTATAAGCTAACACAACAGACGTGAATAAGAATAGTAAGCTATATCATATACGCCAACTCAACAGACATGAACAAGAAGAGTAAGTTATATCATATAAGGCAACACAACAGACGTGAACAAGCAGAGTATGGACTATCATAAGTCAATTT